AGCACAGCAGGGTTTGGCTCTAGGTGCTTAGCCATTATTTTTTGTTAATTAATTTGATGATAGTCGACGTTCCCAGCCCTGGAGCTCCCTGGCTGGCCAGACATGCAGCGAGGGCTGAGGAGAGGTGGTCAGTGTTTGTCTTCTTCCCCTCGGTGGCTTGGGGCAGGCATTTCGCTTCACTGCACCTCTCCTTCCCGCTCCATAAAGCCACGGCAACACTGCTTTCTTCCACAAAGTCCACAGAGAGACACTGCTCCAGTGTGCATGTGTTTTTGTTGTTATTAGCAATGTTTTGTCACAAAACAGAAAATCCCATGCAACGGGTGCTGGGGGGAAGCAGAAAGCCCGACCTGCTGGTCTGCTCCTCCGCCTTTTCCCTGGGCAAGCAGTTCTGGGAAAAAGTCTGCCATTTTCCACCACTGTTTCTTTTTCCCCATCAACAAGGCCCACTTTTAGTAGCAAGAGCGGATGACACAACTGAGCTGTTTGCTCAGCACTCAGAAGAGACATGTGGCCTACAAAACAAAGGGGAAGGCACAATCACTTCTCCTCGAGGCTTATGCACTGATGGCCGATCCACCCAGCCAACTTCTCCAGGTGGCCAAAGGAGGAGAAACCTCCCTCTGCAGGGCAACCTGAAGACTGCAAGTCAGCAAGATCCCCAATATTGTGCAAATAGTGAGCCAAAAGGTCAAAAAATGGCTACTTTAACAGTGACCATGCAAGAGCAGCAAGTAACAAGATCCTCCTGTTCAAGAGAAAAAAAACCTATGCTGAGCCAATTGCTCAACTTCAGTAACAGCCCACGAGACTCACGCAGCATGCACAACAAACGTGAGACAAGAAATACGGAAATGCCACTTGTCATAGATTACAAGACTTGTAAACCTTGGAAACCAAGTCTCTGTTGCTCACTAACCTCTGCCTGTGCCAATGCTACTTCTGGGTTACGGGGGTCCCTGCACATCAGCCAAGCTGGTATTTGTCTCCAGTGGCAAACATACAGATCTTTTGTCATCGTGTGGAGGGTGAAAGTGTGTTCCTTAACCTGAGTTAGGTAACTCATGCAAGAATCAGAGAGAAAGTGAGAGAATTTGTAGCTGTATTATGCGGCATCCTGACAAGCTGCAGGGGAGGAAGTCCTCAGGTTTGCTGCCACTGAATCCCCTAAGTGACTCCCACTGTCTCGAGCAGAGCAGGAGCAGTCACTGCTCTGTAGGAGTTGCTTCACACAGCTGGGGCTACTCACACATGTAAATCAAACGTGTAAAGAGCTGCCTGTGTTTGGAGTGGAGAAACAAGCGAAAGGGACATGCGCTGTATTTCATGCTGTATCTGAGAATGTGTTGCTTGAAAATCTGCTTCAGTGGAGAAATGAGCACTTACACCAGTGGCAAGCACAAACTCTGCACTCCACATTCAGGCCTCCTATTGAATGTGTATTTCCCCCAGGGACTCCAGCTTTTGGCCCACATGTAATATGTATCATATATTATATTACATACCATGCTTATTTGCTGAACAGCTGCACAAATATCACACTTAGAAGAATATAGTTTAATCACTTGAAAACATAGTCTTTATGGAGTGATGAACAAACCGTTCCTACTCCTTGCTTTTCAAACCAGCAATGCTGAAATGTCCAGCACAGATGTCTCATTTTCACTTCCAGATGTTTTCTACGTTGGGTGCTAATATTCAGTAGTAATTTTATTTAACGAATTACTTATTATTAAGGCATAAAATACAAGAGGCCATAGAGAAATATAGAAGCCACTTCATTAAACAGGTTATGACATGTGATGGGTATATAGTACAAGAGGAGTTTTTAAAAACTTTCTAGTCATAAAAATAAATGGTTTCCTGTTTCAAAGAACAGAATATCATTATTTGATGATGAGACACAATCTAAAATAATTAGAAAACATTTTTAAAAGGCTGAACTGATTTCATATTCTAAGAATCAGGGATACCTTTGCTCCTGAACCACAGAATTGTTTTTTTAAAAAACTTTATCCACTGCTTATATTTCTAACGATGATTAAGAACACCAAAAAGAAATGTCTCCCTCACTCCCTTAAAAAAACAGCGAACTTAACTTGAAATATACACTTCTACATGCACAAAGTGGAAGTTAAAACCTGGGCTTACAGGCCATTAAAACTAGTAGGCAAAATTTCTTATGGGGGCCAGAGGCGATATTTATTAAGCTTTATTCCCTGCAGATGTAATTGCAGCTATTTTGTCTCAGGGAGTTCTGGAGAAATGTTCCACACAGGGGCTACCTCCCAGGTGAACACTGCTGCTGCGACATTGCAGTGCTCCCACACCTCAACATTTTTTCTTCTGTCTTTTATGATTATGGCTCAGATATTATTTTTATTCAAAGACAGGATTTCATTTTCAGCAGAATCAAAAGACTCATTTAAAATCTTATCTCAAGAGAGAAGTGATAATGTTGACACTGACATAATTCTATCAAGATCCATGCTTCCTTCTGTTTTCCTTAAAGCACCAAATTCTAGAATCATGCCATTATGTATGAATTGGAGCTTATCCTCTTAAATATATGTAAAAGAAATGTTTGTTGGGTTTTAGTTTTGTTTTTTTCTTTTTTTTTTTTTTTTTTTTTTTTGTTGTTGTTGTTTTGGAGGGGGGCACAGAAAAAGCATTGAATATGTGAATTTCAAAGGTTCAAAAAAAACCCAAAGCAGAAATATAGAATACTTACAGTATATTAAAACTTCACCATTTTAGGTGTTGGACAAGCCTTTTAAATGCTGGGGTTTAGCAATGCTGATCTCTAAGTGAGCTAATTCTCCATTTCCAATTCTGACATGAAAGAATGTAAGTGTATCAGCAGCTTCACTGGATTCAGTGGCAAGACCTGGGAACCCATGTGAATAAGATGATTTTTGTATTACTGTTTGCAGATCTGGATCAAATATGATTCTACTGCAGGAAAGATACGTATCATTTCATGTATCACAATTTTCACTATTTCGGTTTAGAGATCTCAGTGAAATCCTTAGTTGTTCTTTTTAAGAATTACAGCAACAAGTATAGAAGGCATGTGTAGAAAGTTGGGACCCCTGGGTACTGCATTATAAGTCTATGTGGTGTTGCCTATTCATGTCACCAGCTTGAATGTAGCAGACAGGAATTTCTGAAGACAGTAGGATACATTTTGTGATTCTTCTCCATTCTATGTAGCAATGATTACAGGCACTCTTCCTAACATTTGGCCAAAACCCACCAACATATACCTCCTTTTATTAATAAAGTCTCTGCTATCTTAATGCAGCTTTACAAAAAAACTTTCTGAAATGCAGAAGTAAAATAAACCTGCAAAATTAGAATATGCATTAAAATTCCTGATTTTAACAAACAGAAGTACATCTGATTGAATAGAATAGAATAGTTCAGTTGGAAGGGACCTACAATGACCATCTAGTCCAACTGCCTGACCACTTAAGGGCTGACTAAAAGTTAAAGCATATCATGAGGGGCATTGTCCAGCTGCCTCTTTTTAAGGCACTGACAGCCATGGGGCATCAACCACCTCTCCAGGAAGCTTGTTCCAGTGTTTGACCACCCTGTTGGTAAATAAATGCTTCCTAATGTCCAGTCTAAACCTCCCCTGCTGCAGCTTTGAACCACCCCCACACGTCCTGTCCCTGGATCCCGGGGAGAAGAGCTCAGCACCTCCCTCTCCACTTCCCCTCCCCAGGAAGCTGCAGAGAGCAATGAGGTCGCCCCTCAGCCTCCTTCTCTCCAGACTAGACAAACCCAGAGTGCTCAGCCACCCCTCACAGGACATTCCTTCCAGCCCTTCCACCAGCTTTGTTCCCCTCCTCTGCATGCATGCTTCTTAAATTGCAGGGCCCAGAAGTGCACACAGTGCTCAAGCCGAGGCCGCACCAGCGCTGAACACAGCGGGATAATCACCTCTCCTGACCGGCTGGTTACGCCGTGTTGGATGCACCCCAGGGTGCGGTTTGCCCTCTGGGCTGCCAGGGCACACCGCTGGCTCACACTGAGCCCCATGTCGGCCAGCACCCCCACGTCCCTTTCTGCAGGGCTGATCGCCAGCCACTCCTCTCCCAGTGTGTACTCATGCCCAGCATTACTCCATCCCAGGGGCAGAATCTGTCATTTGTTCTTGTTAAATTTCATGCCATTGATGACTGCCCAATGCACCAAACTATCTAGATCCCTCTGCAAAGCCTCTTGTCCCTCAAGACAGTCAACAGCACCTCCCAGTTTAGTACTGTCAGAAAATTTACTAAGGCCGCATTCAACTCCCGCATCCAGATTATTGACAAAAATATTGAACAGAACTGGCCTTAGAAGAGAGCCCTGAGGAACACCACTGGTGATCAGTCACCAGCCAGATGTAGCCCCATTCACTACAACTCCTGGAGCCCTGCCAGTCATCCAGGTCTTCGCCCAGCACACTGTGTACCTGCTCATCTCATAGCTGGGCAACTTCTCCAGGAAGATGCAGTGAGAGACAGTACCAAAAGCCTTACTGAAATCCAGAAAAGCTACATCCACCACCTTCCCTTCATCCATGAGGCGAGTGACCTTATCATAGAAGGATATCAGATGAGTTAGTCAGGACTTTCTCTTTGTGAACCCATGCTGACTGTGCCTGATGGCTGTATTGTCCCTGAAACACTTTTTAATAGCACCCAGTATGATATTCGTAGGTATCTACAATTAAAAGGTTTGCCTTCTGGATTCATCCAGGAAGGTAGAATTACAGAGTAACTTTTGCCTATGCTCCTGCCTCCTCCAGCCCATACCAGATATTGCAAAGGATGAAGTCACTTGCAGGCTCTGGACAGAAATACTTTTTTTATGGTTGCACACTTCTGAAGGTCCAGTGTGTACTTCACACCCTGAAAGGATTCTTTTTTTCTTCTTGCAAATTTCCTTCCCTTCAGAAGAAACCAAAGACACAAAACACTCACTGAAAGCATCAAAATACACTGTGAACAGGTTTGGAAATAAAGCAAACTATTGTTTTATTCATTAACATCAAATAAGTTTAAACATTTGCGGGCTCCAAGCGTATGTTAAAATACTAACATAAGTTTCTTAAAACTATCTAAAGCCCACAGAAGTCACTAGAACAGCTCTAGAAAATTGTACGGTCTTTGGAAAGAGACAGGAATTAATTTACTTAATAGAGTTATCGGATGAAATCACTTGTCTCTTGATAGGTGATTTGGATGGATCTGTGGCTCAAACTGATTTGATTCCTTCTACATTCACACACACACAGACACAGTAAAATGAATCATGCTGGTGTTTCCCATTGCACTGTTAGGAGTTTCTCCACCTCTTCTTCAGATAATTGGTAAATACATGCAGGACTGCTTCTTGAAGTCTGTCACTGTGGAATACCCATAAAGGGATGGACTGCAGGACACGTGCCTTCAGAATCATCAAGCAGAAACAATACAAAGCCAAAGAGTTATAGAAACCTCTTGAATGAATTTAACTGAGTGTTCAGAAAGGTCATAGAAAACAGCAAATGCAAAACCTTTTACTTTATACTTTCAATATATATGTTTCTCTTAGAGGGAAATGTTAATTCCTCTCAGTTTTCAGCAAATCTGTTCTCTTCCCTGTACTTTCATTTAATGCTTATCATTAACAGCTGCCATGTATAAATATTTATTCTATTTTGTTAGCTTGGTAGCCTAAGGAAATTATGTCTACATGATAGCACAATCTGTTTTTATGTCCCCACCCTTCCCCACTAATAACTTCTGAATCTGAAGGCCAATCTCTGTGAAGGAGTAGGGATCTCAAAAATACTCCTAACTGGGTCATGAAAACAAGCAGCTAGCAGAAGCATAAAGACTAACCAGATCTCAAACTGAACTCAGCTCAAGACACAGAAGTGGAGAAAGCCACCCTGTGCTGATACCACGATGTTTTACTTGTGTGTTCCTCCCTTCATAGTTTACTGATGCCATATTAGCCTTAACAACCTATTCACTGTTTCTCATTTGATGTCCAACCTTAAGGTCTCTGAAAATAGTCAAAAGAACTTGCTAAACTTACAGTCTTGGCTCAGCCTTTGGGACCCTTTTACACACCAACAAATTCAATTACCAGTATTTCATGGGCTAAACATCCAAAAATCTCATCTCCAAAGGTGACATAATCCAGCGATTCACTAACAAACGCTTCTGCTGTCTTTGTAATAAGACCTGGGTTTTGGTACATTGTCATTGGAGTAGAAACACCGTAAGGAGCCACTACCTAAAATAAGAAATCATACTAATAGTGTAATGTCATCTAACATTTACATAAGACCATTCGCTCTGCAGAATCACACAGCATCTGACAAGTTACAACAGATATTTGCAATGGATTAAAGTGCTACGTGGAATAAGTAATGGTACTATAGTGGTATAAGGAAAAAAGCTGCATACTGGTAGGAGACAGAGCTTTGACAGGATCACCCAGCACTTCACCAAGGACAGCTACACTATACAGATTTAGGCATCTCAGATATTCTTGAAGAACTTGTTAAAATGAAGGAAAATACAGCAAGATATAGCATTACCTGTATGATAATTCCCTTTGTTTTATACTCTGCTTGTAGTGCTTTGGAGAAAGTGCTTATAAAAGCCTAGAATAAATTGAAACAAAATAACATTAGCATAGGAAATCAAGTACTTCCACGTATGCTCACAAATATGTGCAAACAGGCCCTTAATAAGAATGGCCAAGCATCATACAACCTAAGGCACAATGTAGTGGTGAAGAACATAAAAATTAACTTTTCAAGATACAGTTTCTGCTGGTGCACGAGAGCAATGCCAGGACTGACTCTTTATCTGCACCAGTAAAGATGGAGCCTGGCATTGGCCTAACCCAGACATAAAACTAATACAGACTGGACTGAAAGCTTTGTCTCATTTATGAAAATGCAGAGATATAAATACCTGAGACCCATTTATATTAGCTGTTGTTTCATATGGCTCTCAGCTCTGGCTGACACCTGCTCTCCCAGTTCAACACTTACACTGCTGTTTCTCTTGCAATAAAAAGGGGAGCAAAATACAACTCATGCTTTCAGTATATACCTGTTAGCATAGTCTACAAATACGATTTTCAAAGTCAGGTATTTGAGAATCGGGGAGGATTGTAGCTTCAACCTTTAAGGTTTATGTTTCTAAATTTTTCTCCACGCCATAAAGAGCACACATATACCAACTTCTTTGTGCAAAAGTTGAGTTTCTTTTAAGACTAATTTTAGGAGTTAGATCTTTAAGAAGTATGCAGAAACTTGACAATCTTAGATCACTCCTCTGTAATTAGAAATACAAAAGTGCTACTAAGAAGAAAAAAATGACAGTGTTTCAAAGCCATCATTTGACAACTTAAACACAAATAGTGTCATGATATTGCATGAAGCATCAGTATACCTACAATTAAAACAGTTTCCTTTCAGGCCATTACAAAAAAAAAAAAAAAAAAAAAAAGGCAATTTAAAAAGAAAGAAAAGAAACCCAATAATAACAAAAGTTGAAATAATACAACCGATGTACCATATCACTTTGAAATAATGCTAACTAAACTTTTTTTAAGGAACTAAAATTGTCTGGTTTGAATGTAGTTCAAGTTTTGAGTAATGAGAAACTCACATTAAAAAGAGAAAAAGGAAATGGAAAACTAGACTTTCTTACCAAGAATAACTAGCTTTTTCTTACCAAGCTGAACTTAGCTATGTTCAAGCAAATATTGTTAGAATTTTTCACTTGAAGCAAACCTGAGCTGAGCAAGCTCCTTCTGGAGTTTCAGTAAAAATCATTCACTCCTCATTTTTACAAGCTCTGGGGTTCTAATTCAGAGCAAAATTTCAAAGTGAAATCTATGAAGTCAGGCAACTCACCATCCACCTACCAGGAATTTTATTCTTGGTTCCATAAGCAAAGTCTAACACTTTTGTGCATCTACAGCTTTGAGTAAACTAGCTGAGCTAGCCTGGTAAAAGTCATCACTTCCTGGCACAAGGACAGATTGCTAGCAGTGGTATAACACTATTTAATCAAAGGCAAAAATGTTCTGGTGATCAGCTATACCTTCATCTGGATTCCATTTACATGGCTTCACTGATTCTTAATTCTCAGCTAATGTTAATTTACATTGCTTCAATATTTAGCTGGAGCAACACTGATTTATGTTCTGGAAATCTGGCCCTGTATTGCTGATTCAAACATTTTGGTTAACACTTGATGGGGGTTTCTTTATAAAGCAATGTGAAAGACTTACCTTAGAAGCTGAATACAATGTGTATAATGGACAAGGGAAAAGAGCCAGACCAGAGGACAGATTCAGAATAAGACCTTTCTGTCTGAAATTTAATTTAAACAGTTACATTCAGTTTACATTTGACAGTATTATAGTAAAAGCCTGCACAAGTGGAAAACAACTTTTTTCCCCCCGGAAGGCACGGCTCTCCTATTATACCATAGACTACCCTTTCAAAAGACCCAATTTTTACGGTTTACTTAGGTGCAATTAAATCTAAAATAGCTAGGAATAATGTCATAAGTGAAATTTAAATGCCTACTGCAATCAAAACCATGGGAACATTGTACCTGCTATTGTACTTCTAACAGAGCAAAAAATGCCATCACAGGAAAGATTTTATGCTTCTAAGTAATTGGTAGGCTCCTTTGCTCATTAGCCAGCACATTCTTTTTCCTCCTCCATGCATCTCTTGTTTTAGCTTCCCTATTCACAAGTCCCTGTACAAATCACTAAAACCAATTCTTCCAGCAACAACCAGAAATAAACCAAACCAAAATAATTAAACAGTAAGAGCTTATTTTGCTGCCAAAACAAAAAAAGCATGCACTGGCCCCTAAAATGCAGTAGTTAAACATGTTTTCTAGAAACCCCATCTGAAAACCTTAACTTCTGGTTTAAGGACCCTCATGTCTAAAATACACATTGTATTAAAAGGAGAAAAGGAATACTTAATTGCATAGCTGAATGATGAGTTTCCGAGCACAACTACCACTCTTAGAAGAACATGACAATAAATTCAAATCCCATTTCTTGGCCCACCACATGCCGTTTTATTTCTGCAACACCTGCATGTTTTTACTGGGCACAGATCTATATTTTATATTTTCTATCTTGTTCTACAGTTGACTGAATTTGTGGCAGTTCCTATCATTCATTCACACAGCACTAACAGCAGCAGAAGAAATCTTACTGATTGGCATACTGTAAAGTGCAGAAACTGAATAAACTGGGGGTAGCAGCTAAAAGCTATTGAAAGTTCTAGAAAAAAAGATTTTTACCTTGCCTCCATTTGTTTCAAAATTATTCTTGTCATCTGTAAGACAAGTATGTTAAGAATTACATCCATTCTCCCTCTTTCTGATTGCATTTTTCAACTGGTTCTGTTTTACTCACAATGTTTTCCATTTCCTCAAGCCCCAGCTGTATGCACACAGTTCAGACAGCTAAAATGTGGCACATTCAAAGTTTTAGAAAATATTTTAAAAATGCTAATGGCCTACAAATCATCTGAACTGTCAAAAAATTCTGAAGGTTAGTCTTCTAAGCAGTGAAAATCTTATCCTTATCCAAAGCTTTTCAACAGTATCTGAATTTCATCATTCTTCAATAGTGAATCATAACTGTAAGGAGAAAATCATAGTGTTCTAGCATTTTTCTACCTAGATCGGAAATAGCAGAAAATCATGAAAAGACGGCTTTTTTTCTGATACCAAAAAGAGCTTTAGGATCTGTTTTGATGATAATTATTTATTAATCCGTTCCTATTTTAACAGTAGACTTAATCACACTTACAATTTTTAAAGTACAATTAAACACATTTTTAGGTAAGAAACCTGCTTCTGTTTGTTGTATTTGAAAAGTATTACTGATAGTAAGCCTAAGTCCCTAGGGAATTCATAATCATACTATTGACTCCTTATAAAAACCCACATATCTGTGAATCATCTCGGGATAAGAGTGTGACTTCACTTGCAAAGGACAGTAATGAAAAGTAGTGCAAATGAACGATGCAGCTTAAATCAAGACTTGTTAATACCCTGTTTTTTTCAGTAGTGTCATTGTGCACAAGAGGAGGATAGTAGGAGCAGGGTGGGGTTCAAAGGCTTTGTTTTCAGAAAGGCTGACAATGCAGGTGGGTCACATCAGCTTGGGTAAAGTGGAAACCATGGGAAAAGGTCCTGATTTTGCAGTGCTGAAAATCCCAGTGACAGCCGTGGGAGCCAGGAGTACCGGGAGCTCAGGCATCCCACAGCAAGAAGTGGTGAGCAGGATCCTAGTCGGAATCAACAGAGGGAGCAGGGGAGAAAAACCCGAACAGATTTAAAGACGATTTGGACCTAGCCACGAGGAATGCGGCTCAGGAGCACGGCTTCTTTGTATTTTAGAAGAAGGTGAAAGTTCGTGAAAGACTGAAAAGGACATGGTTGCGTCACTGGGGGAAAGGAATCCCCAGGCCCTGGTGAAGCAGAGGAGGTTGATTCTGCAGTATGTTTGAGGTGGGAAATAATAAAGGGAGAAATCGTTTGTACCCAGACTGAGAGGGTACAAAATGGTCTCCTGTTTTTATGAGGCTCATATACACCATTCAGATACTGCAGATATTTCTGTTCTTTTGACATACAAGTAGAATAAAACCTAGGAGCAGAAAGTTCACCAAACTACTTTATGGAAGAATTTGTTTCAGTTGACTGATACTACATGATTTAGTATCTGAAGCCATTAAGAAGCAGTACAAATTTGGGATGTAGAGTTTGCTAGCCAAAGATGAACATCTGTTGATAATTTTCATGTCATGTTTAGAAAGACATTAGCCAAGGCTGAGATGAACTACAAAGCTCTTGTTCTGCTCTTGTTCATGTTAACATGCTGCTTGAAAACAGCAGAGCAATACAAATATTAATCAAAGGTGGAAAGCATGAAATACTAACTGTTCCTGTAAGGGAAGCAGACAACCAAAATCGGCACCAAGAGGTAACGACACGGAATTGGGTGTCAGCTTCTTAAGTTTCTGTTCTCCACTAATACCAAAATATTTTTGCAGAACAGAATTGTGACCAAAAAATGCAAGTATGGTACAAAAAGTCAGACTGTAGATCTTCCTCTCTTGAAGATTTTGATTCTGAAAACAAATCCCCCTGTTTACCAAAACAAACAAGGTTTTTTGCAAAATGTTTCAGCAGCAGCGCAACAATGTGTCTCAACCGAGCAACCGTACTAAAAGGTTTCCAGTCAGCTCTGACCAGAATATTTCATAGGCAGTAGAAGCAGATGGGGTTCTTAAAATAATGCTGATGCTCCTCATGAAAATTACTATCTGTCGGTAAATTAAATGCAAATACACAGGCAAGCTAGTTGGTCACTCTTGTGGGGGACTAATTTTATTTTTTTTTTTTCCCAATAAAATCCATTACATATGGAACATAGATGTGAGTGTGTCACATACCTTTGTAACAGAGATAATGTTGCAGTTGACAAGGTTCTGCAGGAAGCAAGAAAACAGTAAACTCATCAGAGGGCTTGTGGTTTGTGGATTAACAAAGCTAGCAATTCCAACAGAAAAGCCTTCTGGCAAGGCAGTTGATTTTAGAGCTGCTTGGCTTGCCTCGAGTGGACACCGGCGAGGCCTGTGGTGTGGGGTACTCAAAGGCAGGTACGTGCCGATTCATTTTATTTTAAACAAGGCGCTCAAGTCCCGCTTGCATCCCTTTGACTCCCTGCCTCCCGTTTCGCCCAGCCGCACGTGGGGGAACCCCGAAGCCCGGCGCTCGGGCAGAGGTGGCACCCGCAAATGGAGCTGGATGCCCACGGGCGGCGGATGGGAGAGGGGCCGGGCAGGGCGGCGAGGCTCTCGGCGACCGAGGCGGGCTGCAAAGGAAGCCACGCGTCACTGGCAGGCAGAGCGAGCCTCCCCGGGCCAGCGAGCAGACACAGGGGTGCCGCCGGACGGCTGCAGCGCCGAGGGAGGCAGCCTGCGAGGGGATCTCTGGCTTGTAACAGACGACAGACTGAAGGGGTCCCGAGATGGGTGCTAGCAAGAGATACACTCAGAAATTCGGGTGGTTTGTTTTGTTTGTTTTCTCATGGCTAATCCTAGAGAGGCAAATAACAGTAAGGAAATGAAAAACTTGATCACATCCTTCATCCTGACAAACTATTCTATGTGCGTAAATTAGTTCCCCCCAAAAAGTAAACTGTGTTTAAATGAGGTTTCTTTGTTTGTTTTTGTGGTTTTTTTTTCTTTTTCTTTCTTTTTTTTTTTTTTTTTTTTTCACATACTTAAGCAATGGTGTTCCAAAGAAAGTAAGTTTTGGTAATGCTAACGAGAACCCAACACTTCAGCTGTGTCTGTGCCCAGGCTGGACCCCGTTACACTACAGGTGAGGAGCGAGCCAGAGGGGCTGCTGACCCCTGCTACAGCCAGGCCGGCTGTGCTCTCCCTTCCATTGCTGGGTGCTTCCTGCAGTTTAGCTGAAATCTACTGTTCTTTTTCTCTTGCAAGCTCTTCTAAGCATTAAAGCCAAATCCAAATATGCTCCTTCAGGCCCAGTTACTTTGCCACTCAGCTGAACAGTTACATACATGCTGATTATAGCAGGGGCAGAATCTGCCCCTTGTTAAACGGAATTACAGTTCCTCACTGTTACATTGAAAGTAGAAACCCACAGAGTAATCCTACCTCATCTATGTCTGGTCCATTAAGGAAACGGCACGGAAGAGGATTATGAAGCATTCCGACATTGTTAACTAGTCAAAGGAAATATAATGATGAGAATAAAATCTAGACAAAGTGCATAGTTCAGCTAGTTTAGCAAATGGCTTCTCGAGACCCAGAAGCTTTTGAGCTGTATGTGAAGAAAAATGTTGCTTAGCATCGAGCCCTGTTCTCACTGAAGTCATCAATACTGATCAGTGCTGACTTCAGGGAACAGAAAAGCAGTCTTGTTACAGTTCAGGGTTTTGTTTGTGTTTTGTTGTTGTTCTTTCATTTGTTTCACCATTAAAAGGATGATTTTATTTTAAAAACACTTCCCAAAATCCCATGTTTTCATTCTTACTACGTCTATCGTACCAATTAGTGTTAGTCACAGGCTCATTTCAGATTGAATATAAGAACTGCATACAGTTGTAAAACAACCAATAGTGAAAATTAATTCCTTGAGGCTGAAGAGCAAAGAAGTCAACCCACATGCTGGATGCTGCTTCTAAAGTGCCAGAAGAGGTTTTACAGTAAAGAAGCCACAGTACAGAGAAACAGGAAGCCTTTGGAGAATCCTAATTCACTTTTAAAACTTGTTCATGATAAGTAATGCTCAAATGCATTAGGCAGCTGTATGCTCGGTTTTAAGTGTTGGCTAACAAGTTGTTATGACACATCATTTATACAATTCTCTGTTTAATACACTGCAGCCATAAAATACTCTTCAATTAACAGACCTTAATGACTCACCCAGAACACCAATATCCAAACCTTGCAGACTTTTTTCAATGTTCTCATATACTGTATTTTTAGTGAAATCAGCTTGTATAACCTTCACCTTTTGACCTGTGGTCTGCTCTGTAATTAAGAAAAAAAAAAAAAGTAGAAAACACCTTTGCATCTACCCAGAGAAATGGAGAGCTGTAGTTAAGTAATGAGAGAGACAATCTGATGTCTCATTTAGTAATGCCTGCTGTACGGTAAGTAATTGTTTCAACTTTCTTTAAGAAATATTACAACACCAGCAAAACACTCTCACTGTACCCAGTTGTTTTCAGGGAAATGACCTGGCAAATATAGAATGAATTTATGCCCTGAAATCAACAGAAGTTCCCTCACAAAATCTAAACACCATTTGGTCCTTCAGCCACGAAAAAAAAAAAAAAAAAAACAGAAATAAACAACACAGGACTTCTTCCCCTGGTTATCATAATATTTATAAAGGAACACTGTTAGCATACATTAGACAAGTGAATGTGGGTGCCAGATCCTCTACATAAGCACAGTTTTGCAGAATGTTTTAGAAGTATTTTCATGTGTAAGATGAACATTTTAACAAGCAGAGCTTATCTTTTTACGTAGGAGGAGGAGAAAACAGTGCTGGATGTGATGCAGTATTTTCTGTATTATTTTCAAACAATTCCTCTCCTGTTTTGACATTTGCATTCCCATAGACTGAACCTTCCGCGGGATTTTGGAGGACTAAAAGGCATTTTAAGGAGGGCATAGCTTAAATTTTACAAGGTCAATTTACACAGAAGGGAAAGGGAAATGTGTGTGATTTTTCCAGTGTCATTGCTATGCAGGAGTGGAGCCCAGCTGTACATTACCATTTTTCTCAGCAGTTGATTTATTGCTGTTCATATTTTCAGTGAAGTTTCATGAGGAAAAGAGGTATAGGCTCTTATTTACTCATTTTTAAAGGCAAGGTTCTGCTTTAAAGGGGCCCAGTAAGGTCTCTTCTAACTAGATGTTCACATTGTAAATTCTTGCTACTAAACCCGCTTTCAAGTTTTATGGGCAACCTGAAATCCAGATGAAGTTTGCTGAAAAAGTGACAGGCAAAGCTTGGAAATGTCAACAGACAATCGGATTGCAGACTTGCTGCAAGTGGCAGGAATTCAGGTGCATGTGGATGGCAGAAAGTCTGCTTTGGGTCCTGTCTGGAAAACTATCTCTGCTTCTTTGGAGCCTGATTTTGTCACACAGGTGACAGGGAGCATTGACTTGAATAGGAATCAGACTCGCTGATTTCTACCCAGAAATTTTGCCTCATCCCATGGGCATACCTTTAGAATTTAGGAAGAGGCCTTGCATCAGCTCCTGCAGGAGAGATGGCTGGCAGAAAGCTGGCTCTGGGTCTGGCAGGCCAGTTTGCAACAAAACAGAGCCTCTGTTGGAGGATGAAAGTTGTTCCCTCCCAGTTGTTCCTCCTTGCCCCTCGATACACTGCAAGTCTTGACCACCTTACACTACTCAAGTAACGAAAGCAGTCGCAGTCTGAGGAAACTGCAGATGCTCTGATTCCAGATTTGAAATGCGGGCTGCATCTTGTGTGCAATTTTAGAGGACATCTGTCTCCCTGACAGAAGAAAGGAGGAAGGGATGCCCTTTTTCTTGCCCTCTTTCCAAGTTGCGGTTGTGCGTATGAAAGGGATGAAACATCCTTTGAACCTTCAACCTATAAAAGCAACTCTAGTGGCAAATGACCCCCTCATGGTCCCAGGCTGGGGGAATGGTACAACTATAAAGAAAAGGACATTGTGAGTGTAAATGCAGTGAGTGGGAAAGAACAGAGCAACAGCTGGAGCAGACACCTACAGTGACCGTCTGATCGAAGAGCTCTATAAACAAAATGAGATGGTCTTAAAAAGTGTAGCGATGCTGTGGCCATCTTTCTTGTGGGCAATCAGAAGGGCAGCCAAAACTAGAGCAACAGAAAAATGAGGATCAAACAAACCATTTGGACTTCCTTTGCATCTCCTTGTCTGTATTGCTGCAACCAGCACTGTCAGCCAACGAACAAGTACTACAGATGGTTTTCCTCTGTCTCATTTAAGAATAAAACAATATATTAAAAAACAATAAAACTATCATGGTGATAAATGAATTATCCAGGGATAGCTCTTCAGAAAATGATAACAATTCTACAAAAGAGAGAGCCAAAAAATAATTTCCAATGTTTCTTATGTCTCTCCCTCTCTGTGACAAAGATTTATGACAATCTTTGAAGACACAAACCATTCCAACTCTTTTTAAAAGTCCTAAGCATGCCAGAAGAAAAAAGCCTAGCTTTTCAAACATCAGGACAGGTTATTGTCTTTTTTAAAAATGAAGAGAAAACTAATTTAAGGAAAATTAAAAAAACTTGAACTGAGTTGTTTAATCTGATGTGTTATAAAATGTATCATTAAGGATACATCTAACTCCTTCTGACCTCAGACCACTTGGGAATCCCACTTGTCAGATAGGATAATGTGCTGCCTTTTTAAATTTACCAAGAAGAGAATAAATCAGGATGAAGCATGAAGTTGGTTAGGACATGCAGTCTGCCAGAAACTCTCCCTTTCTACTTAGAGTTATGAAGATCTTCTGAAAACCTGAGGTAGCAAAATGAACGCCCAAGTGACACAAGAACTGATCTAAGTAGGAAGAGGAGACCCTTTTGAAGTACTACAGCAAAATTTTAATACGAAGAGAGAAGCACTCAGGCTAAGAGGGCATTCATACTCAGTGGATTTTGCAGAGAGGAGAGCACAATGACAAGTTGTTTTAACAAGTTCTGTTTTAACATACAGAGGTTAAAAAGAAAGATTTAAGACTGAGGAGAAATATAAAAAGTTCTGTTATATTATAAAGCATAAGTTCTGGCTACATTTCAAGTGTCTTATGGAGAAATGTATCTCCTCAGAAATAAATGATAATTCAGTTTCAGAAATAACAGGAAAATAGTGAAGAAACAGAAAGAATGAGGGTAAAAGCAGAGCTGCAAAAGATGGTAGAAGATATCACAAAACACAAACTCAGTGAAAAACAAAATCAAAACCAAAAACTATTAAAAAAAAAAAAAAAGCATGGGAATTGCTACTTGTTACCAGAGCACTCAGAAAATCGGTCAAGGCCCTCAAATGCTCTGTTATGTAATAGTGCATATTGGGAAAACAGTCCTGAGCAGTAACACTTTACCTTGAGAGATCAGCAAGACACAACAGGCATTTTTAAGAACCTTTGAGGATGAAGGAAAGATGTGCCAAGTGAGTTGTTTTATGCTGATCAGTGATCTCAGCTTGTTACCTGCTTAGCTCTTGGAGCAGGAAGGACGAGAGGCAGAGGGCACAGTACAGCAGATTGGAAACTGAACCTGGAGCAGGGAAAACAGCTAAACAAATTAGCACCTTCACAGGTCTTAGTGGGAGCAAGACACATTTGGTTCTTGACCATGTGGTGTGATTGTTTTATTCACTGCTTTATTCTATATTAACAGGCATAACTTTGGGAGTGAGAGGTAGATAGACTACTTCCTGCATCACCAAACCCAAATTTACTAGCGGCATGCTCAGCTAGTCCGAACTGGTACAGCTGCCTTTTCTACTGCTTTCTGAGGATCACACACCATATCTTTCCTTAAATACAGATCTGTTTCTTCCCTCCCAAAACAAAACAAAACAAAAACACATCCACAAAAAAAAAAAAAAAAAAAACAAAAAAAAAACCAAAAAAACAACCAAACCCCAAAACCCCAACAACCAAACCCCCCCAAAACCCAACCACTTTTTGTTGAGAATAATTTTTATGTCTTACAGAAGTGACTTTTTTTTTGTTTGTTTGGCATTAGCAGCCACATAGTGCAGACCCTGGTCTTATAAATAGATCCTAAGGTATAACTTTTCAATCAGGACCTAGCTCTGCCTGTACAGCATGCTTAGTAAATGGAGGCAGAAGAAATAAAAAAGAAGTGCAGTTAATAGCATTACATCATTTCTAATCTGATTTTATGGTTTGATCAATGTTTCACAAGCACAGTAGTAAATGTGTTAAATGAGCAGTATACCTGGTGTAATGGTCCTCTCTATCTGTCCTCCACAAGACTTATTTTGCTATACTTTATTTCATTCTAAAAGAGCTTTCCAGTCCAAGTGGGTGGAAATCTGGTTTTCAATTGCAGTGCTTCTTTAGAGAAATGTTTTTCTTACTGTGGATTTCTGCCTGCTCCAGCTCTGAGAGCTGTTCTCAGGCACACCAGCAGCCCACAAGAGTTGGAAAGCCAAACACTGAGATCTCTGAAATTACCCACAATTTAGATCCTTTTAATTCATATTATTCAGTATCCGAACTGAATGTGACCGTATGATCAGGCAAATAATATCATCACTTTGAAAAGGGGGGTGAGTCTTTTAATTACGGTGTCCAACTGATTGCAAAAAATACATGATGTAGCTGTTAAGCAAAAGAAAACAAGTAATGTGTCCAGTCCTGCAATAAATAGCCTACAAAAAACTTTTTCCCTCTCTCTGTCTGTGCCTTAATATCCTTGTACGTTAATTCAGGGTAATGATAGCCACTTTGAATGAGATACTGCTTGTTTAAGCAGTTGAGAAAGAAAAAGTCAGTGCGAGTTAGAAAATTTAGAAAACAGTACAATCATTCTGGTTAAGTTTCTGCTTCATTTTTGGTTTCTGTTGTTTATTTACTCACATAACATCACAGTAAGTTTAAATTTTCTTCCTTCCTAATGACTGATTGGCTTAATTACAGTAAAGCCTGAGTCTGAAAATTTGAGTCAGTGGAACATTTCCAAAGCTTTAACATAAGCCCACATCCAGAGCTCCCTGCTGATTTTAGTGGCCCCCAGGTCAGAAACTATGCTTTTCATCACTATATCTTCCTTTCTTTCCTTTTGTTTGTTCCATCTACTTGTTGTTACGTACTCATTTCCAATCTGACACAATAAATAACAGATGAGTCATTCTGGGCTTCAGCCAAAACCCACTAAGGACAATGGAAAGATCTCACTGGGATTTGCCACCCATTTCAGCAAGCTTTGGGGAAGACTCTTCGTGCCCACAAGCCAGCTGAACATAGCATGGAAACCTAATCAGTGTAGCCTGAGCTCCTGGAGTCGCACCATCCACTTCCCCACACCCTGGATTACACGGATAACACCGCTGCCGTCAGTGAAGCTTCCTCACATGTGAAAAGTCACAGGTCACTTTCGCCCAAGGCGCAGGAGTGTTTGCAGGGTAGTCTATCTCAGCAGTAACTCCAGGACATGGCAAGCCCTTCATTACATGCTACTATGCATTTTGGCACAGCATGACCTCAATTAGGAAGGTGGTCAGTGGATGGCCTTATAATAAATCATACTGCAGAGGACTTTACAGTAGGTCAGCTCTCCAGCCCTCCATCATTTTTTTTCTTTACTTAGCTATGTTAGTCTCAGGAATCTTATTGGTTTTGCTTCTGATTATAATTTACAATGCAAAGAAACTATAAAAACTCTTTAGCATTTTTTTTCTTCAGGCTTCTGTTATTGTAATTCTTTAACATTTAGCTGAAAAGAAATACAACGACACCAGAGCTGACCTAATTCCCACAGGGATTATTTTTGTGTGGCTGTTTACTTAAGGAGGGCTAGTGTAGGCCACGTCACATTGGTCACATGGATACCACTGCTTACAGAGACTATTCAGGGAATTGGTGCTTTCCTCTTCTGATACCCCTTGCCCCCCAAAGGAAAGTAAGTCTTTCCCTGGAAAATAAAAGGGGGCAGAATTAGACAGAAAATTTCAGGGTCCAGTCTTGGATTTTGGTAGTGGCAGGTTCAGAAGTTACAGACTTTTTCACCCACTTCAAGTCTGCCACATCCCTGGGAGAGCCACTGCTCTCTCTGAAGGTAAGTATCCTGGACCTGATACTCTTTTGGAGTCAGTGGCTAAGCCTGCTTAAAGGCAAGCCTTTCTGACAGAGGTGTAGTCTTGGAGCGATATATATTTAACACAAGAACCTGTGAATCAAGGAATCTGATTAATAGAAACCATGTATAGAGAAAGAGACAGTGGAAAGAATAACCTTGATTACAGCAATCCTTAAAGTTAATGGAGGATATAAACTCATTTGACTCCTAAAGAAATCCTTAATACATTTATCTTAATGTATTTAAACAAGCTATTTCCCAGGGTAAATGGCTAATTTCCTTTGAATAAAAGAAAGGGAACATTAATGCTAAAGACACACTATTTAACTGCTTTATTGAAAGCCAGATATAAATTGAAAATGTTAAAAAAACAACCAAACAAACCAAAACCAAACCAGGTACCTTGATTTCATTTTTACTCCTCCTTTGCTATGTTCCAAGAACTAGCCTAAAGGTAACCTCATTTTTCCAAGCATAAACTCTTTCACAGACTCTAGTATTACATCTCTTTTGCCTGTATTTACAGATTTTAAGGGCAGATGAAGCCAGTAAAGAACCTACATTCGCTTTTTTAATCAAGCCTATTGTGCTGTTTGAATGACAGCATATATTTTGGACGTGATCTATGACTAGAAGGGTTCAAGCACCACAGTAATATCAAAAATTATTTGTAGCATTGGAGCAACACCTGGGGCTATATCTGTAGCAATATCTGGGGCCCTACTGTACTAGATACTGTACCAAGGGAAGAGACCTCCAGATCCCTGTAGAGCCAGCCTTCTAAATAGGAAGATAAGTTCAAGATGAACACTTACCAACTTCAGAGGCTACTCTCTGCAGTTTATCAAGAGTTCTGCTTATCATAACTATATTTAATCCACGTCTTGCCAGCTACAAGAGAGGAATATAACAGTTGTTAGGAAACAGTAAGTTGACATGAATCTTTCATTTTTTTCCAGTTTTGCAATAAAAGCAATCATGGGTTTTATTTAAATGTTTTCATTCACCTGTCACTTGCCAAATGGGTAAACAATAGATATTAAAACCAGGCCAAACAAAAATCAGTCTTCTAACAGCCTTCCAAAACGTCTCCTTCACTGCATAATCTTGGACCCTTACAAGAAAAATATACTGGACAAGAATCATACCCCAATAATATGAGCAAAAATAAATAATCTGAGCCAATTTCAAACTAATTAAAGTCTGCAGGGAGTGAAAGAAACATGGTAGTTCTCAGAAACATGTTTTTATTTCTACTTGGATTCGAGGGGCCAAATATGTTGATGACTTTCTAGTCATTTTACAACATCACCTTTCAATCTCAGCTTTTTTTATTCTGACTTTATTTATATTTTTTGAATAGAAATGGTCTGATGTATAAATTTAAATTGTTATTTTCATTAGGTGCAAACTAAAAAAAAAAAAAAAAAAGAAAAAAGAAACCAAGGAAAAAAGGTGAAGTCCATGTGTAAAACCTCAAAATACAGTCACACAAATGTACACCTACAAAGATGCTGGCAATAGTTGAAGTTTATAGCTGCAAACACTATTTAACACAGCAGTCCATTTATAGTCAGTTTGATATCACTATATGCAGAACAAATAGAGAACAGTTTTCTCCTGTTTTCCTGAGGACCTCCCATTCCCATCAGTTCATCAGTAAAGCCTGGAAGATAAACATGGCCCCAGCTTTTAAAACTAGGTTATTAACAAGTGGAAGCTGAACAGAGTTCTGAGCATAAAGAACAGAATGAAAAAGCTGAAATTAGAAAAGTGCCTGTCAGAGCAAGGAGAAAGAGAGCTAAACTAGTCAGCACAAAAGATAAAGCCAATATCATCTGAAAGTACCAGGTTTGCTTAGAAGAAACTAACTGGTGAAAGCCACACACTGAAGACTCATTCATTTCCTCAGCTGACTTCCTGCAACCCTTTCTCCTTAAACCTGTTTGAGGGAAACTGCTTGTCCTGTTGGGCTCTTCTGAAACAATGTGGAGAATGCTAAGGAATAAGGACCTTTGTTCAGAAACCCGCTACATGGAGAGTACAAGGGGCAGACTGTCTGTTAAATGCATCAGCCACAACCATTTGCATTTTCAGCACAAAACCCATGCTCACAATTTCGTGCTTTTGGAGACCCTCTAACACAATTGACCGGTGCTCCAAAGAGACCTGCACAGGCTTAGATGCTCAGAAGTTTTGAAAGCTTGTTTTAAGGGCTCCATTTGAAGTTCTCGGGAAGAGAACTCTAATTGCCTACATACTGGCAGGTTTCCCTTTGTCCACAATGAGCTCGACTCAAGCTGTTTCCAATCGGAGACGTGTTCATGTTTCCATGGTCACTTGCTCCTGCCTGCCATTTGGGGGTGTTTGGATGGGGATTTTTTAAATTTTTGCCACTTCAGACCCAAGACCAAATATCAGCCATGTCATACACAAAATAAAAACAAAGTTCTGCTTCACTGGCCTTCTCAATATCATCTCAGCTATGTCTCTATTTCATTTGGTAGAAAAATCCCCCCTGAAACCTAAGTAAAAAATTATTCCTGTTGCTAAGATTGCGTCCCATTTCAGCTAAAAGTGCATGTTTGTGGTAACCTCATAAAATTGTTAACTGTCAGGTATGAGGACTCTCCCCTGATGCTGTATACAAGACTAATCAGAAGTATAAGACTATAGCAGTCATTTCTCGAGGCAAAAGAGGCTACACGCCTGACTACTCTTTTTTGCTTCCTCACCCACACAGAAAATGTGCATCCTTTTCAGAAACAGGTTTTGTAGGACAGTGTAACTACCATGAAATTCAAAAGCACCCTCAAGCAAACAAAAGGAACTGCGCCTAGAAGATAATTTCCAGGCCATCCACAGGAAAGGTTAAATCAGGGTTAACACTACCACATTTCAAATAAAGGTAAGTTTTAGTGCAGATATCCTTTGCACAAAGCATTTTCCGAACATACGAAGGCTTTGACGTTAGAGGATGGTATTTCCCCCCACAGTTAAGACTAAGCACTGGCTCCCAGCAGTGAGCAACGTGAACCTGCTTGGGTTAGGAAATCCTGACTCCTTGTGGCAAAGGACTAAAATGCTCCTGAACCTCAGTGCCAAAACATAAGATCATTATTACCAACTCCAGCCACAACGAATTGTGACAGCTTAGAAAAGAGTCTAATAATGAAGAAAGATAAAGCAGGATCTGCACTTTGGAATCCCACAAACTCATTATTAAAAAGTTTAAACCTACATTAAATTAGTATAAAGTCACTCTGCATTTTCTAGCACGTTTTTGCAGCTCAGTTCGAGGTGAATTTTTAAACAATAAAGCTTCATAAGGCAAGATACAGGTTTTAGATCCAAACTATGCCTGTAACTACTACGGTTATCCTGACAGATTGGTTATACTCTACATGGATCATTAGATGTAATAATTTAAAATCTCTAATAATGCTTTATGGAATCTGTAGCTGTCTACCATAAAATTGTACTCATTACAAAAGAGATTCTACTCTCTTCTCTAGGACTATGCAGATATAGCCTCAGTGCTTTACCCCCTTTCTTTCCTTGCATGGGCTTCAGACCTGTACGGTTCAAACCTTTCAACCCTTTTCAGTCCAGCAGACTGAGACTGAGACAACAGGGCAGAAGGATTCCGCAGCCTTTCTGCTAGGTCTGTACCTGTGCAACACAAGTAGAATAGCAGTATTTTCAGGAATAAATCCAGTGGATTATTTATTTATTAAATCCAATAAATAGAGACCAAGTGGAGAAATTAGAACACGTTTGCAACTGGAGCAGGAAAACTCAGATCATCTTTAGTTTGTATTATACTGCTGGTAATACTATGCACAACTTCAAGAAATGACACAAAGGTTTAAGATTTGAGAAAATGTTGCATTAACATATGAATGCAGTGCCAGTCTCAAAATGGTCTGCTAAAACACTGATTAAACACAAGTACCGGCCTGAATTATAAGAGAGTTATGAACTATTAACAATAACAAAAATGATGACCATGGGAGCAACCAACATCCTGCTTGTGCCCTGACATCAGATGAGAAGTGTGCAGAGGTTCAACCGTAAATCTCAGAGTACGGCATGGCCTCCCCAGTATGTCTGAGGTGCTAAGACAATAATAGATGCTAACACATATCTGTAGTTATTACATCAGAAAAACAGAACAAGACTGCAGCAGCACCTGAAATACTAACAGTTGAGTAGAGATGTGACAGCCCAGCAGCACACTCCCAGCTGACTTGGTTTTGCTCCTTGTTGTAAGGCTGGTGAGTAAAAACCACATCAGCCCAAGAACTAATGGACCAAATCTAACAGAAACCTGGCTTTTGAATAAGTATAGCAAACTAGGTCCAAAATCCCAGCACTCTGACACCACAGCAGTCAGTTAAAAGTTTGGGGTATTTATGCTCAAGAAAGCCAGTCCTTCAAAATCACCCTGATGTGCTAGAAACACAGACAGAGCCTTCACTGAAGCCTGGACTTTCATGCTGAAGAGGATAAGCTCTTCCTCTTCATGTTCTGTGTGTGCTAGCCTCTCAATACAAGCCCAGGAAACTAAAGGGACAGTAATTTGCTCTGAAAAGTCTGTGTCCTGGCATCAACAAAATAGTGTTCTGAGACCTCAGCTGCTGGGCCCTTCACACAGCCCCAGACAGCTGTTGAGCTTAACAGACTTTGTGGAGACCTGTATCTAGCTACAAACCTTGGAAACAAGGGTACTGAACCAGTAAATAGTGTAATCTTTGCCTACACCTGTCTTCTGGATTTTACCCGATGAACTACCTACTGGGATCTCCACATAAAACACCAAACAGAGAAAGCCACATCACACCAGCCTTCCAGAACACAAGAACTGCCCTCCTTAACCTCCTGTACCATATACTATCAAGAAGTGTGCAGCCCTTAACATGAGTTGTGAATCATTATCAGCCCAAGCCTGAGCTCAAGATGTCAGAAAAAAATTAATCGCTTGGTGTCAGAGCTCAGACTCTAGAAGAACAGACACTGTGGCCATCAAGCATGGCTTGCCTTCATATCAGCCATAACACCAGAGGAACCTACACCCAATGAACATCAGAGAATTTTCTATCCTGACATCAGACCAACAAGACAGCAGTGCTGAGCCAGAAACTCCAAAGGCACGCAGATATTAGAACAGCAGGGTCAGATTTATTTATCCACAAGCCACACACAAGTGTGTGCTTTGACCTGAGCCAGCAAGATGACGTGCCAAGCTATGAGCTCATGTGGTGTGGGCTTGGGATCTGCCCCACAGAGCAGTAGCTGAGCACAGCTTCAATCAAAGGGACCACCTGGGGAGGAAGGTACATCTCAGCATGGATGAAGATGGCTCTCAGTCATCCCACAAAAGCCAAACATAATCAGCAAATGTTCCTCAAAATTTAGCCAGTTCCAGCCAAGTTATTAGGATTTATTTTTTTTTTTTAAATCACAGTAGTTATTTTTTCTCATGGTATAAAGCAGCCATTCGCATTCTATAGATGGCCTGTTAAATGGGATTTTCTCTTGCATAACCCATATAGCACAAAGCAAGTAGAACAATGACAAAGGCTCTGATCTAGGTGTTTCACAAGTTCCTGCAGCCTTCAGATGGATAAAGTATCACCAAGTGCTCACACAAAAAGTTAGTTCAGCGAGCTGCATGTACAGGTGACTACTCCCAGGAGCACAGTGTTAAATAAACATTTAAGCATTTCTTACGATTCCTCTCCCTGTCTCCATCCCATCCCATTCCCCTTGACCTATGTATTCAACAGACCCTTCCCCTTTGCTCATCGCTACAGCAACTCAGTGAGTAGACAGAAGGCAATGTTCTCCCTTCGCTCCCACAGGAGAGTTTATGATCTTTATCACAACTATGCCAAATGTTAAACTGTAATACCTGGTATTTGACTTTGTGCTTCCTATGTTCAATGCACTTTCAAAAGTAGTTATTTTATTGCTATTCCCAATAATGAAAATCAGGAGGTAGATGCTTAGTGCACACACTTTAAAAGACTAGCTTAAAAATCCTGTAAATTAATTCAAAAGCCAACTAATTTTCCTTTCTCGTGAGACACATTCTGTAATTTATGAGCAGAAGGCATCACATCTAAACTCCTGCATATTACAGGCTGATAATTTGCATGTAGTCACCTCAGCTCTGAAGACAAATTACCTCTCATTGCTGCTTAACTTCTAGAAAGGGAGCCAGTTCTGAATGAAGACACCAAAGAGAATCTACTGTTCAGTCCCTATCACTAACACCAAGGCTGGTACAAGACAGTACAAGGCCACGCTGCCTTCAGTGTTGATTAGCATGGGTAAATATAAATGGACTGCTGCAGTGACCGCACAGCAGCAGCTACAGGGACAGCACAGAGCTCCTCTCTCCTCCTGCAGCCTCCTAGAGCTACTCATTCTTAATTAAACCATTAGGTTTCCTTACATTTTCTGTAACTTTTTGTTTATATTAATTTATGCAGATTTCTCCTTTATTTGTTGTTTCAGATATATCTTTCAAAATGTATTTATAAGTGTAAAGGCTAGAAAATTACACTTTGTATGTTAATGCTGGACCACCCCACTGAAAAATCAGAAAGCAGATTAGCTGTAAAACTAGGGGGGAAAAGGGCAATTTAGGAGACTTCTTAGCCTGGACAGACCATGTGAAATTCTTTGGTTTATGCACTTTATTTCCTTGGCCTGACAAGACCACTGAGGCATGAATGACTTCTGAAATGCAGCACCAGTTTTCTTTCAGAACTTGATTAATGCTATTCTGCACATACAGGGGAGAAGGATTAACACCATGTTTGTCATAGTAGCTTTGAATCCTAAAATAGTTTTACTAACTTGCAGAAACTGATGAAGGGGTAGCCACTGTCATTTTATTAAAATAAACTTAAGGGTAAGTAATCTATCTATCTTACCTCAAAGGAGTATGCTTTTCCAAGCCCATCTCCTGCTCCTGTGACCACTGAAGAAAGTAAAAAGAAGAATATGGATTACATTTGAAGCTCTGCTTTAGCTTGTTCTTTCTTGAATTCTTTAATCTTCATCATCTGTGTTTCTTGAAGATTGCAACACAAATACTCCTACTAAAGCACAGAATCAATCTTTTAAAAAATTATTTCCTTGTCATCTTTTCATCCTTTTGTTGCTTCATTTAGCACTTTTTGTCTTCAAAGCAAATCCCTCCCCACAGTAACCTATCTGATGCAGTAGGTAGTTAAAATTTTCATTGGGGTCAACAACAAGCAACAAGTCAATTGCCTAAACACTAATTGCTTCAGTAACAAGTCAATTGCTCAAGAGGTGATAGAATTTTCTTCAACATACATATTTTCACAAGTTCTGCTTTGCAAGTTTTTCACTTAGATGCTGATGGTGAAATGGTGGGAGATAAGGACTAACTGGTGACCAAAGGTAGCACTCTCAAACAAGAAATCTGTCTGTAAGGAAACATCACAGCAAACTTACCACCATCTATAAAATGGTCTTCCTTCAGAGCTGACCTACTCAGTACACCTTTGGATTTAGTGCTACTGAGGAAGTAAACAAGCTTTAGCATTTCTAAAGCACCCTGAACTTTAAACATTACACAAATAAATACCACAGAGGAACTATAGAAAGAAAATCCTTAACACATAATAAATAAAGTAGGAAAGCACCAAAGCAATTCCAAGATAAACCACTGGTAAGTTATCAGAGCAAAATGGAAAATTAAGTCAATATAGAAAAAATGTGTATTAAGGACTTCTACATTGCAAGAGACACTGGGGAAGCAAGATGATTTTAGATGGTTAGGTTTGTTGCTGACAGAAGAGTAATTAATCTCATTTCACACAGAAAGAGACCCCTGAGAGAAGCAGCAGTGGATCTTTAGCTTTCTAGCAGACCTGCAGATGGAAAGCAAGAGTCTGTTGGGAAACAAACTTCCACCTCCAACTTTAATTTTCATGATTCTCAGGATCTCATGTGCCACAATACAGCAAATCACCCAAACCCTACAAATTTTACTGGGCCTAGAAGACTTGATGTTTATAAAAAGGACAGAACATAAAAGGTCCACTAAAGGAAACAAATCTCCCAGTCTTCAGTGGAAACAGGGATTTTACACAGAAAGTTCCATACACTGCTCCACACCTCACGCACAGAACAGAGGTTCTTGACTCTCTTAAATCAAAACGAGACCTATGTATTGCTTCAGAGGCAGCTGGTATTCAGGCAGGTGTTCTGCACAGGAGTGGATTTAATTTCTTATTAATCCACTGTGAGATGTGCTTATTAAATTTGTATCCAATCCAGTCACATCAAATCTCTAATGTGAAGGAAAGGAAAGAAGCACAAGAATACTCTTTGGGTCACTTCCTAACAAGGTGCCACCATCGGTGACATATGTAGCCCAGGAACTCAGAAACTGTTGTACCTCTTCATTCTTGCTTCATACTGATAATCTAATAAGATTAAGAAAAACATCAATGTTCAGTAGGAAGATGTTGTTTATTAAACAATTCTGGTTTTTTATGAGAACGCATAATATCTTTTTAAAAGTACTGCCAAATTGCAACCTTTGAAGTTTTTAGGCTAGAGCAGATTTGGCTTGTTAACGATACTATTAAGGATAGGTCACCAATATAGAAAAAACACACTGGAGAAACATCACTGGAAGCAAAGAAAGGTTGTTTTGGAAAGTGGAGACCATGCTAGACATAAACTACTTGCTTCACGTATCAGGAAACAGAGGATACAGGCAATGCTATTAAAACTAAAGCATTTGCAGTAGAGAAAAAAAGAGAAACAGGAATGGGGAGAGAATTCACATCTACACACCAAGTGCGTGAGCTGTTACCAGTTTGACTACTTTTCTATCCTCCTCAAGTATACAAAACCTTCAGGCTCATAAACTCAAAGTTACTAGAGAAAACAAAAAGAAATTAAGCAAACCACACCTAGTGGAAACTGCATTTTGTTCTGAAGAGACAGGGTAAGCAAATGTAAGGAAAACCACTCCTGATTAGTAATGTAACAATCCACCACTCAGTTACAAAAAGAAGGTGAAGAAGTTTCCTTTACCTGCCCATTCTCCCAGTGACCGAAAGAAAGTCTGAGGCAAAGCACTCCAGATATGCGGGAAAATATATCTCATAAATCTGATGCATTTTACCAGAGTGTAGAAACAGATCAGACCCCCAACAAGAGTGAACAGCTGATGCTGGAACACTTCCATGGCGAGCAAAGGCAGCGAGCTAGTATGAATCAGTCAGCCTCACCCCGGGAAATGCCTCTTTCCGGCACACTGCTAGTCTCTGAGGACCGGCAGAGAAGTGAGAAGTCTAATCAAATCACGTGATTTTCTTTTCCCAAGGAATGTCCAGGGTTTAGACTAGATTAACTGCTCTACATTACACCCAGATTTGAAAACTACTGAAAAAATCCAAACTAAACTGATTTCTGGTGCTTGCTTTAGAGGAAACGTTTCACTCATTTCCTGGAAACTATCCAAGGACAAAAAGAAGAAAAAAAATAATTTATTGTCACCGTTCAGGATTCACAGAGATTAAAGATGGGTCTAAACCAAAACCCTGGAAAAGAATATGCTAAACCCTGGGGATAACACACGGCAGTACGACTTACAGCAAAGAGCTAAACCCTAGCCCAAACATGTCCAGGGCAAGCTCCCACTGAAACCTGAAAAACAGATTTATCTACCAATTTGAAGACAAAATAATAAAAGGTTACTAAAGTCACCTAATTATTTCTGTACAGATAAAGCAGTATTAAATAAATTTTCACAGAACTTTCTGAAAAGAGGTTAATATCAGTATGCCCATTTTACAAATGCTGCAATTATGGCATGAACAAGTACAGTAATCTATTAATGACTGAATAGGACTTTCAGCTTTTCTGAACAAAGTATATTTAACCCAGTATTAAAAATTAAGGATATAGGCAATGCTATTAAAACTAAAGCATTTGCAGTAGAGAAAAAAACATCAGAAGTACCAATGGGGAAAGAATTCACATCTACACACCAGGTGTGTGAGCCGTTACCAGTTTGACTATTTTTCTATCCTCCTCAAGTACACAAAACCTTCAGGCTCATAAACTCAAAGTTACTAGAGAAAACAAAAAGAAATTAAGCAAACCACACCTAGTGGAAACTGTGTATCAAAACCTTAAGGATAAAAAATACTTACAAGAACAGTATTTCACTGCAAAATAGGAGAAATTAATGAAATTCAGACTCCACGTGATTAAAAATTTTCCACAGTTAACATGTGGAATTTCTCAAGGAAGGTACAGGAGCAACCTTTACTCTCATCTCTAGTGGCAATTCAAAACATTATCCATTTTTCAAAGGTCAGTTTAAACTGCAGAAGAGAAACACTGATGCCTACATGAGCACTTACAATAAGGTAAAATAAAATTTGTCTATATATTTTTCCACATTTAACAAAAAAGTCACCTCTAAACCTCTGACACCCAGAGATCTCCAACTAAAGAGCAGCAATATGTCAATGTCACTGACACACTGATGTTACTGACACCTTCAGCCAGAAAACAATATTCAGATGTGCAAGAGTAAAGATATGTCCATATCACAAGAATTATAACACTAAATTGCCAGTAACAAGAAGATATAAGTCATTACCGTCTTAGCGTAACAACAATCCAGTCCCCTCACGCATAAGCTCTCTTAAAATCTCACTTGTTTTACCCCATAAGTAAGGCCGGTCAAATCATAAAAGGTCTGAATATCACGTTTTGAAAAATATTTGCAATCATAAATTCCCCAAAGAATCACTCACTATTCAAGGGATATTTAAAATTTGAACAAGTTGCACTGTGTTTTTCATAGGCAACAATGATGCTGAATACCTCATTTAAATTGAAAAAGAGAAAAAAAAAAAATCATTCTGATGATGGAGTGAAAACATGAACTTCCACAGCTGCCAGTCTTCTCTTTTGCACTTCTAGCTCTGCCCATGGCCCTTTGCCGTTTTCTTTTCCATAGGCTGCTAATGAGTCTGAGATATGCCTACAGTACTTCATGGGCCCAATATCTGTGAATCAGGTCAAGATACTGACAGGAAAAATAATACATTCTTATGAATGTGAAGAACTGTTCATCCAGCCCAGTCTGTTTTTTTTTTCTGAGGTATTGCTTCTCTGCCTTCCACAGGAATCACTGCAAGAACTTTACACATTGCATGGGTAGAAAGCTCCTTTGGGTGACCACTGTACTACTTCTCTCTTAATAGCTAATGCACTGATAAGTGATCCCTATAAAATTAAGAATATGAGCAGATCAGTAGGTGGTACAATATTCCTTTCCAGTCCAGTTACTGTTTTTAAGTTTGTGCGTTTCCTTGTAAGTACACCTTGCCATCTGTAGAACTTAAGAAGTTTTAAAAATACTGGACTGACTGCTGAAAATCAAGTTTTGTAGCTAGCAGCATGTAAACCACGAGACAGTTCTCTGAGGGAATGTGACTCCCAGAAGTCAGTCCAATATTTCTTAAAATTAGCCCACTTACTAATTTTTTAAATACGTATTCTGCAGACTAAGGTTTTGTCTAAACATTTTTACCATTTTTCCAAAAGAAAAAAAATTACGTTTCACACAGCAAATGAGTCATCCAGTTTTACAAATGCTTTAATATTTCATTGAGCTAATGTGAAAACTGTAGAAAAGTAGGGTTAGGACTATCTACAGATGTATCCTAAGAGAAATCAGTTTTAAATTACTACCTTATTAACTGAAAGACACAATTACTGAGGTTCTGAACAAAACAGCCATTTCCATAATTGCCTAGATTCTAACATGATCGTTGTCCTGGTTGAGCCCGTATTTCCAGTTTTGACGAGCAAATTTACTGGAATCAACATTATCTCTGCAGATATAGAGGAAATAGTAATTGACTGAAATTGAGCTGTTTTGTGAAAGGATACAATCACTTTCAAGTTCTTCTAAACAGAACCTACTTTTCGTTACTCCTACATTTATTTTTTAAATTATTCTGAGTAATACTATCATAAAGACTGTGAGAATCAGGTCTGTATTTCAGGTAAGAAGTCTAAGTCTGAAGCACTTCAAAAACATGACAGGAACAATGAATAAAATAAAATCACTTCTATTACAGTATAGAATGAACTAATGAAACTACTTCAAGTACACTACACAGCAGCAGATCACACAGAAAGCAAATATCGGTGCTATCCATGTTTGCCTGAAAGCATTTTATATGTCCATCCACAAAGAAAATGATAAACTTGTTAAAACCGTAATCTGTATCTCTTTATTTATAAAAGGTATAGCAAAATATTAATTAATTAAATGCATACAGTAGCTGTTCCTTTGTGGGAACTACATCTCATTTAGCAGTTGCCGTTGTGTGTCCATCAGTATTGCAATCAAATGGCACTCTCATAATCTTTTCGTAATTAATGAAAACCCTCCAATGCCTTGTCCCACTGCTGACAGTTGAGGTGCAGTAACTGGGATTCTGGAGGTAGAGATGACCTGGAGAAAGAGGAGTTCTATGAAAGAATACACTCAATAATACTGAAGGCTTTTTAAGTATGAAGGAAATCTTTAAAAACAGAAGATCTCTCTAAAATATCTGCAGTGACCCTTTCCCTCCCCAGCTCTTTGATAGGTAGAAAATTAAAGGCACATCTCTTAGCCAGCTGGGAGAAACTGGATAGCTCAGACTTCTGTTTCCACTTTGACTATGCCCTTGAATTCCACTTCTAATAGCTGCAAGTCACTGCTTCTCTTGCCACTCAAATCCACGCAGGCAGTGGGCAGCCTGGTCATCCTCTGAAGCTTCTGGTGTGAGCTACTCACATTTCTTAGATCTAATCCAGTCCGGTCACTCATGTGTTACACACAGAGTAATGCTTTTCAGATTTAGCTGTATTTTAATTCAATCAGGAATCAAATGAGCTGGTTCCATGTCAAGGTCTTCCAAAATCTTATGTTGATTTGATTATTTTAAACAATCTTGGCTTAAAAAATGCTTGCAGGGAATTGAGAACTTCAACAAGATTAATTACTCTGCTGTCTTCCAGTGCTGCAATGCTTCTACCGTGTAATGCTCTATTAATGCTGTATCCTCAGAAACATAGGTAAGCATTATCAACTGTAATTTCAGAGAAGGAAATAAAGATACAGAGCAATGCCATTATTGTCTCAGATGGTAACTGAGTAACATCACTTTCTGGACCTTTTTTTTAACAACTCAACCAGCCTTGCCCACTGTAGCAACCCCCTGGGCTTCCTACGATTCCTCGCTCTGAATTTTAAGTGTAAACTAGTACCAGATAAACTCTCACTGCATATGTAAGACAACAGGACACTGATACTTTCTCATTTAAAAAGAAGTTAATCTTCCATGTCAATCAGTTTCCCCTTTTGTAGTTTGTACATAGTAGCATCACTTCTCTGCAGCACTGAAAGGCAATTATAGACAAAACATCAGAGGAGGGGACAGTGATATGAAAAGATGAATGTACCTAAACAAAAATAGATTTACCATTGTTATCCCTCCTAATCACCTGTTTGGTACTTGCTCACACACAAAAAAATCTTTTTAAATATTAAAAAATCCTTTTTGAATTTCCTTCTCTCCTTGATCCTGCAGCAAAGTTATGAGAGTTCACTTACAAGAACAGTGACAATTGCAGCAGAACACCATAATGTTATTCAGGATAAGGAAAAGATTGGAAGAGAATGTCTACACAATGTATACCGAGCACACTAGGCCATACTCTGAATTCTTTAGTCAACACACAGGGAACAATGTGGGGGCACATCTCCTCTTTGCCCCATATGTTCTACATCACTTACACATGAGCAAATGCGCATGTGAAATCATTCTAGCATCTTTCATCATTTCACTGATATCAAAGATTGCATATGGTATAAGGCAATGGTGAATCAATCCTCATGATCTTCACAGGTATTTTGCCTCAGAAAGTACTGGCAGACTCTGAAATAGAACTCACAGATCTTGCTGAATACAAATAGCACCAAAGTACAGGTAAATGGAGAACTTTACAAACTGAGATTTGATCATGGCATTCCTTCCTATAAATTAGCTCATGGTATATAAAAAAAAACCTAAAATTAAACTTTTCCACATGTGGAAAACATGGTGAGCAAGAATATTTCTGAACCAATGAATTGTGTGCGTATCTGTGGCAACTGAGGTAGATTTTTTTTTTCTTGTTCCAAATATGGTGCAGCATATACTTATTTAATAAGTTCTCCGCAATGCCAAACAAACTGGTATCTTCAGTCTCTTTCAAGGTAGGCATTTTGGCTAACTCTTTGACTCAGGAAGTGCATGCTCTTCATCCCCAGGTTGCATAGGCTTGTTGCTTCCTCTTAAGGTTAAAAACGAGTATCTCAGTCCTCCTACCATACTAAAGAAAAGAGAATG